TAATAAATCTATCTTTGGAGATTCATCGCTCTCACTATATTATAATCAATCGTATCGTGCCCCAAAGCATCAACCAATGAGATTGCTATCTGTTTACCATAAGCAGACAATGGTCATCATCGAACTCCATCAAGGAACGCCTACACCAAGTTTGAACATTCTACCTCAATTAGAAGGAGAGTTATTGTGTTCCAAAGTCTCGACCAATGAAATTGCTTATTCGCTCTGCTTACCCTCAGCAGAAAATGTTGATTATCGAACTTAGTCAAGGTACTGATGTAATAAAGCTATACACCAAGTGTCCTCACTCACACTTAATTAAAACTAAAGTGTGAACATTCTAACTCAATTAGAATGAGAGTTATTGTGTTCCAAAGTCTCGACTAATCAAATTGCTTATCGCTCCGCTTACCCTGAGCAGAACATGCTCATTATCAAACTTAGTCAAGATATTGATGTAGTGAAACTATACACCAAGTTGCATCACTCTCACTTAATTAGAACTAAAGTTATCGTGTCCCAAAGAATCAACCAATCAAATTGCCTATCTCTGCTTACCCTAAGCAGAAAATGCTCATCTTCGAACTCCATCAAGGCATTGACCTTCTAGCTCAATTATAAAGAGAGTTATTGTGTGACGGAAATAGCGCAAATTCAAAGCCAACTATTGACACCATGATCCAAACATATTCCAACAAATTAGTTACATTAATTCCAATGACATTAAAGTATTCTGATTGAAAGGTAATTACGCATTTGATACAAACATAATCAGTTATCAATACTCTATGAATTTACAAATATTTCACAAACAATTACTTAACTAGTTTCCTCAAATTTGAAATAGTGTCTAATCATTATATCACATAAAGAATAGAATCATTATAAATTCTATAAGTAACTGAGTGGGTAAAAAAATGCCAAAGTCATATCAACGAGTCCCAAACGCAACGATTCAAAAGATGACTTGAACAGGAACAAGTTCTTAAACGCATGAGACAATACTGAGTCGCACCAATCCTGGCAGAGTTCTCTAGGCCCAAGGCCTAACCGCAACAATAGTAGATTCTATAACTGGAACACAGGAACAGGTTCTCCAAACAATGAACAAGTTCGAGCCGCAACGATCCAGGCAAAGCTATCTAGGCCTAAGGCCTAACTGCAACAATAGTAGGTTTTGTAACTGGAACACAGGAACATATTCTCTAAACGCATGAACAAGTTCGAGCCGCAACGATCCAGACAAAGTTCTATAGGCCTAAGGCCTTACCGCAATAATAGTAGATTCTTGTAACTGGAACAGAGGAACATATTCTCTAAAAGCATGAACACGTTCGAGTCGCAACGATCCAGTCAAAGTTCTATAGGCCTAAGGCCTTACCGCAACAATAGTAGATTCTGGTAACTGGAACACAGGAACACATTCTCTAAACGCATGAACAAGTTCGAGTCGCAACGATTCAGTCACAGGCTACTCTCTAGGCTAGGCCATAGTGCCTTTCTTTCCAACTTTATTACACATTATATACTGAGAGTTTTTACTATAGCTGCCGTGCACGACACATCGCACGTCGTGCACTGAGCTTAACTAGGCGCATGGCAGTAGGGCAGGCATGGCTGACTGGGCTAGAACTTTCCGGATTCTGTTGACTACCGTCACTTGAGTCTTGACTTTTAAAACAGGAGAATCATCATAGGTTTTATATTAGTTTACTGACTGAATGTAATTGAATGTTTATATTGACATTTTACAGAGAACAAAATTACTTAAGTTTCATAGATCATTTTCGGCTTTTTTCATACTTAATTCAGACATAATTCTGACTCAATTCAGACTGGTTCAGACGTAAAAACTCTATGAGTTTACAGGGGTAATTAACTACAACATGTCCGCCACTATGCTCGCAACTCACCAACCATGTGCTGAGTAATCCTTAATACTTTGACTATTATTTAAAGGCTGATGAATGCATGTTAAGAACATGGATAGAACCTAGATTAATTTGCATAATTCATATACAGATAAATTCTGGGGTATGTGGCTGGCTATGCAAGAAAAACCACGCATAAACTATATAATATAAGGTAATCAATAAGTACTCCCCATGATACAACAAATTTGAGCCTAGGTCATACCAGGCACTCCTGTTAACTCTGACAAACAAACAGGGAATGAGACCACTAACTATTTAGCAACAGTAACACCTTCTACCGATGCTAAAACCCCTTCAAGACGCTCTTCAGGTGAATCTACATCAAATCATGCTAAATGAGCACTTCTCATTGGTTCACATGTTAACTGATCAACTCCAACTGGAACAGACCTTAAGTTACTCACATCTTCTCTTAAATAAAATAATGATAAAAAATAACTATTGATGCTTTAATGTGTCAATTGCCTGTATCAACCTTCTGACAAGTCATGGAGCCACAATGAGTAAGGTGATGGCACAGAAACCAGTAGGTCTCATTTCGTGCCTAGTGTTGGACAAGAAAGTACCTGAAATTTTCGTTGTGTAGGATGGAGGGCCCGGCAGGGAACGGTGACTAGTATTTCCATGGTTACTACATGTGTTGCTACATACTACCATCAATAGTGGTATGGACTGGAGCATAACGATGAAGCAATACACAGAACATCAACCAACATGTTTTCATGATACAAGAATAGCTGTGTATTCACTTTCAGTGTAAATGATCTCATTTGACCTTTGACTCCGAATATCTCGAAAATGCCCCAACGGCAGGCTGATTACCACTCGACATCGTATTTAACGCACAAAAATACTATAGAAAAGTTGGGTCCGGTTTTGTGCCCATTTGATGAACACCCCCGCACTGAGCCTCCAGACTATTTAGGTGTTGAGCCTAAAAATAAATTACATGGACGTTAACGATTACCAAATCAGTCAGGTGTGAAAAACATGTAAAGAGGTTGATGCTTTAAGAAAAACAAGCGGTTGCCATGCAAGATACGGACACATTTTGAAAGAGATGTCCAGGGAATATTTTAATTAATCTGCGATTTTATCAAATTCAGATCATTTGTGACCGACAGGGGCAATGACATAATACATCACGTGAAAAGGTGGGCGTATAAAAAAGAATTGCAATTATCCCATGAATACATGATTAAGTCAAGACAAAAATTCAAATAGCTACCTTGGCTAAACGTAGCAAAAAATCGAAAATAAATATAGTAAAACTAATATATTTGATTTAACCGTTAACATTAACTTGCTGATAAAATGTCAGTTATACTCTATGTTTTGTTTACTCGATTTTTTAGCTGAACTTGCTGAAGATGGCGTTAATTTTAATGACCCTTTTTTTTAGCTGCGACTTGATATGTTCTATCCTTCTTAAACAGGCACCGCATACATATTATGCTCCAGCATTATCACTTAGATCAAAGTTTACCGAATAAAACCTGCCCAGGTGTCAAATGCGTCGCCTTTCTGTGTATTGATATTTTACAATAAAAAAAACTTGGGAGTGCTGGATGTTCAATCTGATTAAAACACAGATCCTATTTCGTTTTGTTTTTATAGTTCAAAATTTCGTTTTACTTGTCTTTACTACACTAGGATCTGGAAGAGTTGTTATCATTGACGTGTTCTGAATGGTGTGAGGAATTAGCCAATGAAACGGTCTGTTACGGCGAACTTTAGGCGTGTTCTGTACGGAACTGTGGGTAATCCCCCATTAAGATCAATGCTGATTGGTTAATCAAATGTGTAGGCCATCGAAAGTATAAAAAAACGAAACGAAATATAGATCTGTATTTTAATCAGATTGCTGGATGTTGAGCAGAAAATGCAAACTGATTTCTCTAAAATGACAATTCTTGATAATAATTTTATGGGAGTCGCCATCTTGTTTCGTGGCTATTACCTCCCTTATAACGCCCTTTAACTGAAAAGGACAGATTTAGTACATAAAAGACTGGATAATCCAGACAATGACCCATCCAGACTAATATTTGTAGAATATGTGTCTAGGTGATAGAGACTAGATCATCGCAATAATCATAATTGTAATAATACGAGTTTAGGCTACAACATGATCTTATAGTGTATGTCGTCTAGGCTAATACTAAACGTCATCGGTGATATCTTTCTAACCTATGTTCCTTCCCTTACTTTAAAAAAAGGCAACTAACTTCTAACTGCAAAAAAGCCACAGTGTGAGTGAGTGTAACGTGACTCGACCAAAGCACAATTTATAATTTTCTTCTTTGCAATCTACTCCCTAATTTCATGGAATAAGATGTTAGGGTTATGATTCACATAATCAACATAAAAATGTCCCAACTAGAGTAGATATAATACTATTAATAGACGTGAACGGTTCGACGTCCTTTTATTTTGCCTGAAATTAAGCGCGAAAATCCGCGGGAACGCCCCTTAGGCGCATATTATAAAACAAGGTCGCAATCTGAACAAAACTGTTTAGTCAGTGCTTGTGTTTGGGAGCATGGCAGGGAAAGAGGCTAGGGGAAGATGGCCATTAAACTATGCCTAGGCCTACGGTCAGATCCACTTGTCCAATGTTGAAATAATTTTTTTTTTCCATTATGAACATGCAGATCAGTACGGCTCCTAAACCACATTGACCTCCTCTTGGCATAATTCACACATTTGACACCCATCCGCACCACAAATCCCACACTAGGCATCAACGGTAGTACGGTACCGTACCTGACATTTACAAAAAGCGGGTCGTCTGGTCGTGCGTGAAAAAGACCACATCCTTGTTTTTGATTGGTCTCAGTTTATCCATAAAGAATACGTGTTTGTTAAAGTTAGCCGCTTCAAGAAGGCCTATTAATAATATATATTATAATTTATTAATATATGTCCTTTTGAAGCAGCTAACATCACTAACCTAACCCCTCTTGAATAGGATGAATAAATTGTAAAGTTTGAAATATGATAGTAAACATATACTTTAGATATATTCAAGTAGAATATGGAGTATGATATCCCACGAAATTACGACCTATATATTAAAGTGTATCTTTATATTTAACAATGTTATATTGATATAGTTGGTGTGATTGTACACTGATAGAATATACCAATAAAGTAAAAATCAGGTATGTACTTACTATAGTGTTCTATTCATCTTTATTACCCTGTTGCACACGGCATGGGCCTAACCGCCACCCGGGAATGCATCTCTTCTCTTCAGGAAGCCATGGTGACTCAGTGAGTAAGGCACTGGATCGCTAACCAGGAGGTCACTGGTTCTATACTGGTGGTTGTTGAGAAAGTTCACCGGTATTTTCTAGCGTATTTTTACCAAGTCCGTGATGCAAGACCAAGGGTCGGGAAACAAAACAGTGTCTAGTCGTTCGGATGGGACAGTAAACCAAGATCATCATCTACATTTGAAATTCGATGAGAGTAAGCCTTAACACCGCTGTTCGCACACAATTTCCCACAATGTACACTATACATGGCGTATACCCATTCTCAGAGAAGTAGGAAGTTAACCCCTACTAAATTTCATTTCGCAACAGATAGAGCATACCATACTAAAGTTACACTGTCTGTCTAGAATTAGCTCCACGAAGCTAATTGACCGACATTTGATCGATTTTCGTAGTATACCTCGAGAAATGTTTAATAGGTATTCTGCTTCAATTTAAGTAAATCGAAATTATTTATTTAATCCTTTTGTTTATGAAAGATATCAAATGGATTAGAGTGACATTACAAAATTGTACACAAATTTTGAATATGGCGGCCATTCAGAGCACAGATCTATTCTCAAAGTAGTTAGTTTCAATGTGCAGAATGGGGGCCTATACGCCTCTCGCGTTCTTCCCTTTCTGTCTTCGTGTGGAGACGGATGAAACTTGACGGGAACGTCCTGTGGAACATTCCCAAAATATTCAGAGACGAAATTGTGTTTTGGCCCTGGACCGAGATCACGGGGTTGTTTTAGACGGAGTTGAACTTATTTAGAAATACCGGCGAATTCGTACATAGCACAGGTATTATTTTATAGTTTACGCCCATTGTGAATTATAAAGTCAGAAGTACTTAATCATGAGATCATAAATGTTTTTCTTAAGGGATATACCCTGCAATGTTTTATTAAGTATTAAGGAACAGGGGTTTGGGAAACAAAGCAATGAAACTGTATGTCAGTATTGTTATAGGTACGGGACCGTGTGATAGATTCCAGGAAGGCTTGATCACCAGAAAAGAAAATGGCGTCAAGGTAAGCTATGAGTCGGTCTAAACCTCATGTAACTTATTTTTCTCAGATTTGACAGACAATGCCGGACCAATTTGAAACAATCTCCCTTTTTCACTAGCCTGGTTGGTGTAGAAAAATAGGACGTTAAAGCCCATTTCATTTAAAACAATATTCGTTGCTTCTCGGCTGTTTCCATCAAGTTCGGAATATTCGTTTCCTCTCGGCTGTTTCCATCAAGTTCAGAATAACTTTTTGACATAATATAAACACCAACAATGGCAAAAATATGGTGCAGATAGAATACACAAGAATAACCCCGTGGATTCCAGTGAGCTTACACCATTCCGCAGCTTGAACGGTGCCAGGTTGCATTCAGACAACTCACAAGAAGGGAGAGAAGAGAATATAAGCGGCGAATAAACCCTGTGGGGTAAAAACAAAATACTTTAAATATTATTTAAATGACCTGAACCTCTAATTCAATAATATCCATTATATTTGAAACTGAAACCACGAATATTGGTCCATTGGCGTGCACGTAAAAGAACCCTAGTTAGTTAGAATTCGATATTAGAGTAGGCCGTAGCGCCGCTGTTCAGGCAAAATTTATGATTCTTTATTATCCCAGTCGACGCAGAAAAGTGGAACTTTAAACCCCCATTTCATTTTATTTTACTTATTCGCTGACATTGATAACGGAGATAGTTTGGGCTGGGGCAACCGGTCTATTATTTAGAAAAAAATACAAAAGAATAATATTAAGTAACCAGTTTTTCTATTCTTTTCTTTACAGATGGGGCGATTTAGGTAAGTTATTGCCTTACTCATAATTTGCTGGAGGAACCAATGGTCATTTTTACTATATATATGTTATTAAAAAAACAAAAGAAACAAAATAGCTCTACATAAATAGCGAAATCGTTCACCGTTACTATCCTGGCATTTCCATGAAAATAATATTGCCTGGAGTGGCCAAGATGTCCCTCTACGCCTATAACCATACCATATTTGTTTTACTTATTTTTAGGGGAGATAAGGATTGCTTTACTCGGAAAAACCGGTGTGGGCAAAAGTCACCTGGGTAACAATTTACTGCAGCAAAATGCTTTCAGTGTTTATGCTGGATTCGGTAAAAGTGGTAGTTTGTGCTCGTTGTATGCAGAAAGAAAACTGGACGATCACACCAACCTGTTTGTTGTGGACACTCCAGGATTGTTCGACACCAGACAACCCAATGACAAAACTAAAAAGGAAATCGTTCGGAGTATCGCTCTTGCGGCCCCTGGTCCGTTTGTTTATATCTTTGTAATAGCGATTGGCCGATTCACGCAAGAAGAGGTAGATACTATTGACATTCTACAGGAAATATTGGGAGATGACGTCATCAACCATGTTATAATAGTGTTCACCAGAAAAGATGATTTGGGCGACATGCTAATAAACGATTTTGTACTAACATCACCACCAGGGTTACAGAACCTCATTCAAAAATGTCACCAGCGCTTTGCCTCCATCAATAATAAGGGGAACAAAGCTTCCTTAAAGGCAGAAACAAGCTATATATTTGATTTAATCCATAAAACTATTGAAGACAACAAGCATGTGTACTTCACCAATCAGATGTACCAAGATGCTGAGCAGGTTCTAAATGAGCGAAGTCAAGAAATACAGAAAGAAGTAGACAGAAGCATCAGAGAACTGCGGCAAAAACGAATAAGTTTGGAAAACAGAGGCAATGTTGATACACTGAAGGCACAAATATTGGCCATCGATTCGGAGATTGCTGCAAAAAATTGTATGCGGCCGAAAAGACGAGCCCAAGAAGAACTCTTACAACAAGACAGCTCACTTCTCGGCAATTTATTGGATAGAATGAAATCTGTGTGGAGGTCCTTCAAAACAGTGTTCCATTAAAAGGCATGCGGTGACCTTATTCGGCGGTTCTTTTTAGCACAGTTCTTAGTTTAGCGATTCTCAAATTCTCAATTTTAGGATTTAACGATTCTTTGTAAAGCCAAACCCCAACGAATAAAAATATCAAAAGAACTTATCATACCGAATTTTAAAGAACAAATTTAGAAGCATATCGATTATATCCCACCAGGGCAGGTTGGGTGTTTGTGGGGTCTAACGCGTCCGCTTTTAATAATAAGGTCTGTCATTGTTTCGACCCCTAGCTTACGTGTAACAAGGAGTAGTGTCACCTGTCGAACCTCGTGGGGTTTTCAATGCACAAGATAATTATTGAAATAAAATCGTATGGATTCTTGTCCCGGAATGACCTAGATTGGGAATGTCACCTTAGGTCGCATATAAGCCTGGGGTGGGATCAAAACCACGTCACGTGACTCGATCATAGACCTTATGACCACAAGCTCACTTGCTAGACTCCCCCTCGCACCCCCCCCACTTCTCATTCCCTCCTTCGCATCGAGCTATTGGTATATTGCTTAAATCTATGCGTTGGTAAGTTTACACTTGTATGGTTGTCTTATCCTACCCCGTGGGTTCTCTCGGGGTACTCTCTCGGTATTATCCAGGTTAGTGTCGAGTAGACGTTAAGCCCCAAATTCACGGTCACCTTCTCCTTCCGCTTACCCCTCACTGATATAAAACAGAATTATCGAAATATCCCGCAATGAACTGATTGACAATCAAGCTAAAATGATGAATGGTGACTTTACCTGAAGTGAGGCAATTGAGTTCTGTATAAAAAGACCATTTACAAGAGCAAATATTTCTTCCTTGATTGTGAAGGTTGATTTAACACGATGTCATTTTACGTGTGGACGTTTCCGTCAAGATAAATCAACGAAACAGTTTCTATAAAAAGTAAAAACCACACTGCTTTACCTCTAAAGTTGATTTAAACCATAAGTTAATCACAAGTAAATGTCGCTTTAAAGGCCCGGTCCCGCTGCGCTTACGGATGCAAAGAGAATGTAAAACGGGGAAAAAAAATGTACCCTCCGTTTGAAAACGCCAGGCATCCGCTGCATACGTGTTTCATACACTCTATCCATCGAGCATCCGTTCACTTTGATTTCGTCCGCGAAAAAAGGTTTGAGCTGCACAAAACTTTTTTAACGGATGAACGTTCTGCCATGTACGATGTAAATGCGCGACATATACGAGCACCAAACGTTCCATGTCCGTTATCTCCGTTAAACGTCCACTGTATCCTCTCTGCATCCTCTGGACATCCTCGCAACTCACATCCGCTCCAGCTGAAAACGGAAAGAGGGAGGAAAGATAAGGTACATGGAACGTCTATACATCGTTAGTAGCACGGAAATAGAAAGGATGGAAGCGTATATAAAGTTTTCAAAACGGACAAAGCGTTTCTATCTGGGATGTATCTGGTATATTAAAGGATGTCTGGAGTTTGCCTAGAGTATGTAGAAGGACACCTAGCGGACGAGCAAACTTTCGGGGTGGCTCCATCCGATTTCATCCGCTCCAGAAATGGACCAAATTGACGAAAATTTGCGAAAACAACACGGAAAAGAACGAACGTGGGAAGTATGTAGCGGGGATGTTAAATGGATGTTCATCGGAAGCCTAGCGGATGGAAGTGGATGACAGCTCCGAAGGGTTATCGGGGATAATTTCGAAGTGGACGCATTACGGAAAGAGCGGAAGCATAGCGGGTGAAGCGGATGCATCACGTACTCCTTACGGAAACAAAGGGGATCCCGCGCGGATGTATATCGGATGCAAACCGTTCACTGCGCATGCGGGGTGTATGAATTGCGTTCGCTCCGCAGATATAAAGGGATGCAGCACGCGCGCAGTCACCATAAAGTGGAAAGACGTGCTGGCGGCTACATCGAGTATCTACACTATGGTGCGTCAGTCAGGCAAGAAAAATAAGCCCGTGCCTACTCCTTCAAGCCGTGGCAAGGCGAAGAAGGCCAGAACCAGCACTCCACTCCCTGATGTTCAAGCCTCTGAAGGCCCTGATGCTGAAGCCCCTGAAATCCCTAAACAAGCTCCTGAAGGCCCTGATGTTGAAGCCCCTGATATCTCTGAACAAGCTCCCGAAGGCCCTGATGCTCAAGCCCATGAACGCCCTCCTGCTGAAGCCCCTGAAGGTCTTGAACAAACTCCAGCCAGAGGGAAGAAGAAGGAAGAGGAAACAGTACACCGTTTCCGAGGAGCATGAGGATGATGTGCTGGAATGGCTGAGGGAGAACGAGTACCTCTGGAGAAAGGGCCACAGACTGTACCGGGACACCAAAAAGAAGCAGACAGCTTGGATAGACAAGACAGAGAGCCTGGGGTACAGTGCAGAAGTACTCCTTGGATGGTGGAAGCACATGCACTCCTGGTATGGGAAGCTACACCTCAAGAAATCCGGGCAGGCCGCCATCAAGCTCACTGACCGGGAGAAGTACGTCATAGCCAAGTGCAATTTCCTGGAGGGTGAGATCCGCCACCAAGGAGCAGCCCCGCTGAGACCCCTCTCCCTCAGCCAGCCCACAGACAGCCAGGCATCCTCAAGCCAGAGGCCACGTACCTTGTCCAGGCAGGAGTCTTCAGAGGGCCCCACAGCAGAGACCCCCTCGACAGCTGCACTCCCCATGGTGCAGAACTTGGAGGACCCCGTGGAGGATGACGCTCTGCTCTCACAAATGGAGGAACAAGCGGCAGCCACCAAAGGCCAACCCACCTCCACCTCCAGCTGACGCAGGCAGAGAGGCAGAATGGAGGGCCAGGACGACAGTGTGCTGTTGGAGATCAGGGACATAATAAAGACCAGCACAGAACTTCTCTCCCCGTGGTCGACTTGAACAGGGCATCCTCAGCCCGGAAGCCCTTCATCACCTACGTGAGCCAGACCCTGAGGGACCTGGCCGAGTACCAGGTGATGAAGCAGAAGATCACAGCACTTTTTCACAACCCTCAAGGCCCAACTGAAGCTCGTCCTACCCAGTCCAGGTCTGCTCCTCCACCCCAGGCCACGTCAAAGCCCTTCCATGGCTTTCAAAAGTCCCTCACCTACCAAGGCTACGGCTGTTGTGTGTCATTGGGAAGGGGGTCTGGACCTGGAAAACCCATGATGAGGTTGCGTTCCAGCCCACCCTTGAGGTCACTTGCGTTGTATATCTGGGCATCTGAAGCTGACCCGTTGCCTGAAGCATCAATGTAGATGAACTTGTAGTCAGCATCAAGCATGGCAAAGAGGAGGATACTGAAGAAGCCCTTGTAGTTGTAATAAGTGGACCCTGAGTTGGCTGGCCCTGGACAGCCTGTAGTTCAAGATCCTCTCTTCACGGGTGAGGCATCTTGAACTGTACGGCTTCATGAGGTGCTTTCTGAGGGAGAACGCGTCATCACCAACGATGAAGTAGGGCACATGTTGTGTGTCATTGGGAAGGGGGTCTGGACCTGGAAAACCCATGATGAGGTTGCGTTCCAGCCCACCCTTGAGGTCACTTGCGTTGTATATCTGGGCATCTGAAGCTGACCCGTTACCTGAAGCATCAATGTAGATGAACTTGTAATCAGCATCAAGCATGGCAAAGAGGAGGATACTGAAGAAGCCCTTGTAGTTGTAATAAGTGGACCCTGAGTTGGCTGGAGCTTTGCAGGCCACGTGCTTTCCATCTATGGCTCCAACGGTGTGGGGAAAGTCCCATCTCTGATACCAATCTTCTGCAAGTTGTCTCCAGCCTCGTCCACGTATTCTTTAACAATGGCCTCTGCCACTTCTCTGACGACTTTGCTGATGCTGTTATGTGGTACCCTCCATGCATACTGCATGTTTCTGTATGTGGTTCCAGAGGCCAGGTGCCGCAGAGTCAGTGCCACCTTCAGTCCAGGGTCCAGGTTGGGACGGAAGTTGGTGCTAGGCTTGTTCAACCTAGGTCTCAGACGCTCTACAAGTTCGTCAAATATGGCTGGTGGCATCCTCATGAAGTGATGGAATGCACGAGGGTCTTCATTCCCCAGCTCCACCATCAACTGGTCATACAATCCAAACTCCATTCTTCTCATGACCCATCCTCGGACCCACACAGCTCTTGGAAGTCTCCTTCTTCGCCTTCTGTCTAAAACTTGATACAGTCTGAACAGGTTGTGGTTCTGCTGTTGAATAAGTACAGCCATCATATGGACTCTGATCATCCATGGTGGAGAACAACTGATGATGTTGAAGACCTAGAGCAGGAGGTCTGTACACCACGGCTGCTCGAAACATACTGAGATCAAGATGATTTTCTTCCCCTTTTTATAAAAAATATCGGCTGTCCGCTAGATGTCCTTCTACATACTCTAGGCAAACTCCAGACATCCTTCAATATACCAGATACATCCCAGATAGAAACGCTTTGTCCGTTTTGAAAACTTTATATACGAGATGCATACGCTTCCATCCTTTCTATTTCCGTGCTACTAACGATGTATAGACGTTCCATGTACCTTATCTTTCCTCCCTCTTTCCGTTTTCAGCTGGAGCGGATGTGAGTTGCGAGGATGCCCAGAGGATGCAGAGAGGATACAGTGGACGTTTAACGGATGATAACGGACATGGCAAGTTTGGTGCTCGTATATGTCGCGCATTTACATCGTACACGGCAGAAAGTTCATCCGTTACAAAATTTTTGTGCAGCTCAAAACTTTTTGCGCGGATGAAATGAAAGTGAACGGAAGCTCGATGGATAGAGCGTATGAAACACGTATGCAATGAGTACACACCGGATGCATGGCGTTTTCAAACGGAGGGCACGTTTTTTCCCCGTTTTACATCCTCTTTGCATCCGCTTCACCCGCTATGCTTCCGCTTTTTCCGCTATGCGTCCGCTTCGAAATTATCCCCGATAACCCCTTCGGAGCTGTCATCCACTTCCATCCGCTAGGCTTCCGATGAACGTCCATTTAACATCCCCGCTACATACTTCCCACGTTCGTTATTTTCCGTTCTGTTTTCGCAAATTTTCATTAAATTTTGCCCATTTCTGGA